CCGCAGACCGAAGACAGGGTTCTTGTCTACTTTGAAGTATTGCAGCTTCGGTGCGGTGAAGTGTGGATCTGAGCTGCGTTTTGGTATTAAAGAGTGCTCTGCCATGCAGTCGTTGATGATTAGCCCGAGCCACCTTGCGTACGGGATGGTACCTGGCATGTTCTTCTCTTTTGCTTTGACCAGGTCCATTAGCTCTGAGAAGAAGAGCTGTGCCAAGTCGTAGTTCTTATTGAATGCGATGCCATGAAAGACTAGCAGGATCTGCTTGTTGCACTTGTCGAATCCGGCATGCTTCGGCGACAGGCACTTGTTCACCAGCCCGAAGAGGTTCTTCCATGGATGATGAAGATATGCTCCGTTGAAGTTTGAGAGCTGTGGCAGTAAGGAGGTGTAGCCGAGGGATGCCACGTCTTTCAGTAGATCAGGGATGGACGGCAGCGCATCATACGTATCTCGGACTGGCAGCGCTAATGTAGTACGCAGTGTTGATGGTGTCAGAACCACCCGCATGCCGTTCAATTTGGTCTTTATCTTTGAGCGATCCTTCGGTGATTCCGTATGCATATGACCCCAGAACTGTTGTAGGTATATCTCTGGCACTTGTTTTGCGTTGTGAAGTGCAGGCCAGAGATAGTGACCTTTCATGATTGCCGGAATCACTGGATTCTGGCACTTGAACACGGTAAGGTCTAGCTGGAAATTGTTGTCCAGCACCTTGATCCATTTCCCCTTGGGGTAGATGGCATCGTCGATCTGCGTTTGAGTTGTTCCTGCCATTATAAACTGTAGAAGCAGGGGGTCAGCATATGAAAATCATCGGTTTGATTAGATTGAAGGAATTTGGTTTGCAGGTTTCAGATAAGTTTATGCAGGTGGAATTTTGAAAAATATTGCAAAGTCCAAATCTTGAGATGTGAATCTCGAGATCATGATTTCGAGATTCAAATCTCGAGATCTTGATTTCGAGATTCAAATCTCGAGATCAAGATGTCGAGATGCAGATCTCGAGATCTTGATTTCGAGATTCAAATCTCGAGATCAAGATGTCGAGATGCAGATCTCGAGATCTTGATTTCGAGATTCAAATCTCGAGATCAAGATGTCGAGATGCACATCTCGAGATCTTGATTTCGAGAAGATGAATCGACGATCTCGAGATCTTGAAAAACAAGATATCGAAATCATGATTTCGAAGAGATTAAACCACCTGCAAAAACATAAACATGATATATCAAAATGATAACAAGCGATTTCGACCTGTATTAAACGAAAAACCCTAATTTGATTTTGATTTTGAGAAAAGTCGATCGTTCTGCGAGAAACGTTTTTCCGTTGAAGCGTTTTTATGGAATTCGAACACGACGGAGGAACTACCTTAGAAGGTTGTCGAGAAAGAGAATCGGAGAAGGAGAAGGGTTTGCGAAAACAGAAGTTTTGGGAAGAAGACAAATCGGTCCGAGAGCTCTGACTCGCGAAAAACTCTGACCTTCGTGAAAAAATCAGAATGGGAAGAGAAGGTTTTTCGCGAGGCTTATATACGCGAGAAAAATTTTGGACCTCTTTCGTAACAGTTGAGCCCGAATGATTGGGCTAGCTCACAATGCCTTTTTAAAAGATTTTCGAGGCCCAAAACCAGTAAAAATATCGAGCTCTCCCTCAATCAGTGAAAAATTTCTCCCCCCCCCCAAAAAAAAAATGCTACAAACAATATGTACAAATGCAACGCACACACACTATTTTTGTTCTTTTTTATTTTTCTCCCCCTCAACACATGCAACACACGCACACTATTTTTTGTTATTTTTCTGGTTTTCTCCCCCTCAACACATGCAACGCACACACACTATTTACAGAGCACACTCACACACACTTTTTACAAGTCCCACACACACACACTTTTCAGACCAGTGGAGACAAAAATTAAACAGGCTCGAGGTTCAACATGCCCAACTTGGAGACCAGGAACTGGAATCTTTTTTCATCCAATGCCTTAGTGAACAAGTCAGCCAGTTGAAGCTCTGAGCTTACAAAGTACATATCTATATCTCCTTTCTCCACGTGATCCTTGATGAAATGATAGCGCAGATCAATGTGTTTGGTGCGGGAGTGGTGAACAGGATTGCTTGTGATGGCGATGGCGCTTTGAGAGTCACTGTAGATCGAGATGTGGCGGAATGTGTAACCGTAGTCCTGGAGCTGAGTCTTCATCCATAATATTTGTGAACAACAACTAGCAGCCGCGACGTATTCGGCCTTAGCTGTAGATGTTGACACACAGTTCTGCTTTTTGGAAGACCAGCACACTAGCTTCTCGCCCAAGAATTGGACGGCTCCCGATGTACTTTTGCGGTCCATCCGGCAACCAGCAAAGTCAGCGTCCGAGTATCCGACTAGATCAAAGCCTGAATGCTTGGGATACCAAAGGCCTAGATTCACCGTGCCTTTGAGGTATCTTAAAATTCGTCGTACATCGGTCAGATGAGATTCCTTCGGATTGGCTTGAAAGCGAGCACATAAGCATGTGGAGAAGACAATGTCAGGCCTGCTTGACGTGAGATATAGCAAAGATCCAATGATGGCCCTGTAATTCGTAGCATCAACTGGCTTCCCGGAGGGGTCTGACTCCAGTTTATTGTTTGGGGACATGGGGGTCGTCATGGAAGATTTGCCTTCAATGTTGAATCTCTTTAGCATATCCAGAATGTATTTGGACTGATTGATGAAAATGCCATCAGAGAGTTGTCTTACTTGCAGGTCTAAGAAGAAGTTAAGTTCACCCATCATGCTCATCTCGAACTTGGTTTTCATCAGTTTCTCAAAATGTTGGCATAGGCGCGGATTTGAAGAGGCAAAGATGATGTAGTCAACATAGATCTGAATCAGAATGATGTCAGATTTCTGTCGCTTGATAAACAGAGTAGTATCAATCTTTCCTTTTGAGAAACCTGAATCGATCAAAAATTCAGTCAAGGCATCGTACCAAGCTCTGGGTGCCTGTTTCAACCCATAGGGAGCTTTCTTGAGCTTGTAGACATGGTATGGGAATTTTGGATCTACAAATCCTTCAGGTTGAGCAACATAGACTTCTTCTTCTAAAGTCCCATTTAGAAAAGCTGTTTTCACGTCCATCTGAAAGACGGTGAAATTTTTGTGCGCCGCGTATGCAAGAAATAGGCGGATTGCTTCAATTCTAGCTACGGGCGCAAACGTTTCATCGTAGTCTATGCCTTCCTGTTGATTATATCCCTTTGCGACCAGCCTTGCCTTGTTCCTTACAACTGTTCCTTCTTCATCTCTTTTATTTTTGAATACCCACTTCGTGCCAATGATTGTCTTTCTCTGAGGCCTGGGTACCAGTGACCATACATCCAATCTGTCAACATGGTGCGTGCTGCTTCAACAAGGGTTCTGTTCTTTCTCTCAACAACTCCGTTCTGTTGGGGAGTTTTAGCTGCTGCAAATTGCTGAGTGATACCGAGTGATTCATAGAACTCAGTGAGAGTCTGATTTTTGAACTCGGTACCATTGTCAGTTCTCACAATTCGAACACTGTGCTGTGGCAGTTTCTGGATGGTCCTGATAAAGGTCATAATGTTTTCTGCAGCCTCGTCTTTTGAACGGAGAAATTTTGTCCATGTGTACCTAGAGAAGTCATCAACGATCACCAGAGTGTATTTGCGACCGTTGATGCTTTGGACTCTCATAGGTCCACACAGATCCATGTGAATTAGCTGCAGCTGATGTGTAGATGATGGTTCTGTTTTCGACTTGTGGGAGCTTCGCGTCATTTTGCCCATTTTGCAGGCACTACAATGATTTTCAGCGGAAGACTTTAGTAGAGGAAGCCCCTTGACAAGTTTCTTGGAGGACAAGGTTGATAGATGTTTGAAGTTCAGATGGGAGTGACGTCTGTGCCATATGTTGTTCTGTTCAGTTGAAGCTTTGGACAGCAGACAGATGGAAGTGGTGGATTGGACACTTTTCAGATCAATAGTGTACAGATTTGATGTTCTGTAACACGTTAATAATGTATTCCCTGTGCTGTCAAGAACACAGCATTGTTTTGCAAAGAACCTCACTTTCATCCCGCTGTCACAGAATTGTCCTATGCTCAGTAAGTTGTGTTTGAGCCCTTTGACAAATGAAACGTCTTTTATAGTGACACTGGCACAGATGACGTCCCCATACCCAAGAATAGGAGATGAGGCATCGTTCCCGAATCTAACATTGCCTCCGTAGCAGTTGGTGTAGTTGCTCAATAGGTGCTTTATTCCGGTCATGTGGGTTGAGCATCCTGAGTCTAAGTGCCACACATGACCGTCCTGCAAAACAATCAAACAGGTTTAGGTACCCAACTTGGAGTGGGTCCTTCCTTATTATCAAGAAACACCTTTCTAAATCTTGCTTTTACCTGTGATCCAAGGTCAGCAGCTCTTTCAACAAAAGATCTTTCTCTTGTGGGCTCTCCAATAGCCAGATCTGCTTTTGCAGTGGGTCTGGTTTTTGGAGCCCACTTAGCAGTTTCCATTTTGGTGGGTCTGATGTTGTGAACCCACCTTTCCATTTTAGTTCTGGTGGGTCTGAATTTGGGGACCCACTTTTCTGTTTCAGTTTTGATGGGTCTTCGATTAGGGACCCACCTATCCGTTTCAGGTTTGGTAGGTCTCATCTTGGGGACCCACCTTTTCGTTTCAGTTTGGGTGGGTCTTATCTTGGGGACCCACCTTTCAGTTTTAGCTTTGGGAGGAGAGCAGACATGTGCTTTGTGATTGAATGGTTGTTTCTTAAGTTTGGTTTTGAAAATCTCCTCTTTAGAAAGCCGATTAAGATGTTTCCTTGAATGAACTCGAAGAGCATATTTCATATTAGGAATACAAAATGTTCCCTTAGAAGTTCTTTTCTTGGTTTCTCTTTCTGGTTTGAGCTTTCTGTGAGGCTTTGCTTTAACAACATTCACATCACATTCATAATTATGGGGGTCTGGAACAGAATAACCATAAGCAATACTTGTATTATGAATAGAACGATGTCTAGAAGATGTCTCAGAAATATTCAGCTTGGGACTCAAGACTGAACTACTAGAAGTTTGTTTTGAAGAGACAGAATTACAATTAACTTTAGAGTAAAAAATAGAACTAGATCTAGGACTGGCACTATTCTCAAAAACTTTCTTTTTGCCTTCTGCGATTTCCTTCCTCTTTTTCCTCCACTCATTCTTCTCTTCTCCTTCCTTCTTCACTTCATTTCCTGTAAACAAAGGAGAAGAGAGATGAGTGGACGAACCTTTTAAAACATTGTTTTTCTCAGGTGAGGTGTGTGACCTGTCAGTCTTAGACGTAGAAGGGTCTGATTTAGCATGATACTGCTCACTCAATTCATTGAACTTTTGAAGAAGTTCCTGCCAGTTGCGCTCAAAACCTTTCTTTTCAGTTTCAAATCTTTCTCTCTCTCGTTATCGAGAGTTTTCTGTAGGTTTTTGAGTGTTTGAGCCATGGGAAAAATACAAGGTTCCTCTCCAGTTTTAGCGATACCTACTCTTGGGGGTGGGTCTAGAGGATGTCCTATGTGAGGACTATCTTTAGCATAAGGGTCAAGACATTCACTAAAGCGGGAACTAGATTTTTCTTGTGAAAGTTGTTTTTCATTTACAGAGGGATAATCACAAGAAATCACAGCTTTAGGGTTTTTTCTCTTTTCTTCTTCTGCTTCAGCGTTTTCTTCATCACTTCGAAAATACATTTTCTCACCAAACTCTAGTCCCATGTAATCTTTGTTATAGATTTGAAGACAGTTAACTTTCTTCAGATTACATGGGTTTTTTATGCCCAGTCCTATTTTAGGATTGTAGAATCGGTCATCCTTTATTTGATTAAGAAAAATAGTCTGTTCAGACTGACCTCTTCTAGCAGCTAGATCCTCTAGTTCTTTTACTTTGTTTAAAAGTGTTCTTCTTTTATTATGCAAAAAATCGCATTCAGCCTTTGCTGTGCTTTTTTCTCGTTCACTATCCTCAAATTTCCTAATTAATTCAGCTATCTTAAGTTCAAAGCTTTCAAAATCTGAGGACACCTTTTTGACCTGATCTTTTGCAATTTCAAGTTGAACACTTAAAGAAGACTTTTGGTCAAGATTATGTTTCAGTACCCTGTGATTATTGTCTAGTCTCTCCTTTAGTTCTTTAATTAGATTGTCCTTCTCAAGTAAGGACTTCATTTGGTTATTTAAAGGAGTATGAGAGGTACTTACAGAGCTTGTTGAGCATCAGGGCATCACCCTTTCTTTCATCTTCCTCCACTCGCGCCATCAGGGCATAGTTTTCTTCTTCCTCCTCCTCATCAGAAGAATCTTCTGCCCAGTTCTCATTCTCAGCAATCATTGCAGAAGTTTCTTCTTCTTTCTGCACCATCAGCATTTTCTGCTTATTCCACAGCATCTTCTGCTTGTAGAAATTAGCATCTTTCTTCTTTGGGAGGCGACAGTCTTTGATGACATGTCCAGCCTTTCCACAATTGTAGCATTTGAGAGCATCTTCAGCTGATGGCGCCTTTCTAGAAGATCCTTGTTCATGGCTCTTCTGTTTGTAGTTAGATGAGGAGGTTCTTAGCTTGTTGGAGTAGCTGTTCTTGTTTGCAAATCTCTTGGCAAGCAGTGCCATTTTCTTCTGTAAGTCTGCAAGCTCAGCCTCCAGATCAGATTTGCCGTCATCACTTTCATCATCGTCTGATTCAACCACCACCTTCTTCTTCTTCTTCTTCAGTGGTGTGGTTGTTCTTCTGGGCTGAGCTTCCATCACAAGAGCTAGAGGATTTGATGTGTGATGATTCTCGGCACAGGCAACCTTATTGACAAATTACTTCAGATGTTCATATAGAGTGCAAAGGTCAATTTCATCCAAGTCAATGCGAGATCTAACATCCTTCACTGTCTTTTCCCATGCAGGATGCAGGCCGGATAGAAATCTAATATTCAGTTCCAAGTTGGATCTGAATACTTTGATTTTTCTGAGTTCATTGACCAGTTGAACGAGTCTATTGTAAGTCTCGTTCAAAGGTTCTCCCGGGCCTGCTTTGAAGGAGTCATAAGCAATGAGAATTGTAGTCTTCTTTGTCTTAAGGCTAATGCTTGTGCCTTGGAGCAGTTTCTCTATCTCATCTCACATTTCCTTAGCTGTTTGCATGCTATCGATGAGAACGTATACTTCATTGGGGATTGCTTGAAGAAGGTATGTTTTGGCCATGAGATCACCACGAAGCCTGAGCTTGTCAGCTTCCGTGTATCCAGATGCCACTTTCCTCCTTATTTCTGAAAGAATAGGAGGGTTGTTTTCTGGATCACCACCAACTGAAATCAAGAGTTCAGCTGGTCCTTCAAGCAAGGATTCAAGCATCGCAACGGAGTTCTCTTTGTGCTCAAGGAAATTAAGGAATCGATTCCTCCACATTTGGTATTCTCCTTTCCTGAGACTAGGAGGGGTACTGCTGTTCCCTTGCGCATTGAATTCTGAGGCCATTGCTGTATTAAAATGATCGTTCGAGATAATTGATCAAAAGATTTTCAGAGGCAGAATGTCGAAAAATCAGATGTCGAGATCTGAATATCGAGATCTAGGATTTCGATAAAGGAGGCCCGGTATCGAGATTTGAGCTCGAGATTAGGATCTCGAGATTAAGGATCTCAACATTTCAAATTTCGAGAAGAGGATCTCGAGATTTGAAATGTCGAGAAGTTAAAACTCGAAATCTTAATTTGAGAAATCAAATGTCGAGACCAGATGTCGAGACCTTATATTCGAAATCTTGATCTCGAAATCCTAGATGTCGAAATCCTCAATGTCGAAATCCTGCAAACTGTAAAAATCAGATAAGCAAAATCTGAAGGTAGTTTCCTGTAGAGTAGAATGTCGAGATCCTCAGGTAAAGTTTTCAGCTCGAAAAACGTAGCAGAACCTGTTAAAAACCTAGATGTCGACAAGGGCTACTCGAAATATCTCAAGTACAGAATATGCGAAAAACGAAATCTGAAGTATACCCCTTGATCGCTTTGAAACAACGATTCTAAGGGTGTAACTTTTACAACTTTTGAACAAGAAACAAGATTACAGAGTGAAATATCGACAGTAAGAACAACGTAAAGAAAAATAGAGTCTTCTGCAGGCGTTCTTCTGATCGGCTCTCGATCGGCTCTGATACCAATTGATAGTCCATGTTTCTGTAACAGCAATGAATAACAATCTAACAAAGAAGATTAAACGTAAGGATGAACACAGATTGAATCAATGTAAAACCCTCTTTGATAGACCGTGAACTCGTACACAGAAAGATATGCGCGTAAGGCTATAGTGAATAAGTACGACGTTAACCTAATCCTAAACCCTCGGCTCCCTTTTTATAGGCTAGGTTTAGGTTAGGCGTGAAAGGCTTTTAGCCTGTTTATATGGGCCTAACACTTGGCCCACATTCTATCTAATACATGCACTAATTTAATACAAGGAATAATAATAAAGTTAATCTATGACAAACTTGATTCACAATTAAAATATCTCCAACAGAGACTAAGAAATGTAACAATTAAACAATTAACCAGTTTTATAGGAGAATAAGAAATGTAACAATTAACTAGTTTTATAGGAGAATAAGAAATGTAACAATTAACTAGTTTAACAATTAAACAAGTAACTAGTTTTTTAGGAGAATAAGAAATGTAACAATTAACTAGTTTTATAGGAGAATAAGAAATGTAACAATTAACTAGTTTAACAATTAAACAATTAACTAGTTTTATAGGAGAATAAGAAATTTAACAATTAACTAGTTTTATAGAAAATAAGAAATGTAACAATTAACTAGTTTAACAATTAAACAAGTAACTAGTTTTATAGGAGAATAAGAAAGGTGACAATTGACTAGTTTTATAGGAGAATAAGAAATGTAACAATTAACTAATTTAACAATTAAACAATTAACTTGGAATTATTGTCTAACAACTTTTTTGGAAGTAAAATGTAACTACTTTCTTTTTAATGTAACTATTTCCAATAAACTAACAATTAACAATTAACTACTTTTATAGCAATGAACTAATAATAAAATGATAAGTGAAACAATTAACTAGTTTAATATTAATAAAGAATGTATGAGTGCGTAAACTAAATTAATGGGAGTGTGAGAGTGTATAAGCAATTGCATAAGTAGATAATAAAAGTGTATAAGTAGATATACTTAATATATATATATATATATATATATATATATATATATATATATATATATATATATGTGTGTGTGTGTGTGTGTGTGTGTGTGTGTGTGTGTTAGTCCCTGTTTCTGTAACAGCAATGAATAATCGATCTAACAAGGAAGATTAAACGTAAAGATGAACACAGAATGAATCACCGTAAAACCTTCTTTGATAAACCGTGGACACGTACAACAGAATGATATGCGTAAGACTATGAATAATAAGTACGACGTTTAACCTATTCCTAAACCTCGGCTCCCTTTTTATAGGCGAGGTTTAGGTTAGGCGTATCAGGCTTTTAGCCTGTTTATATGGGCCTAACACTTGGCCTGATTTCTATCTAATTCATGCACTAATTAAATACAAGGATTAAATATAAAGCTAATATATGACCAACTTGATTCACAATTAAATATCTCCAACAATCTCCCCCTTTGTGATCAAGTGCCATTCTCTTATTGCTTCTGAGACTTGAAGTAGTGCTTCCTCATACGAAGTGCATGTTCATACTGCCTCAGCACATTTCTCTTTTCGAGGCGATCGTCAATGGCCTTTAAAATTGTCTCTACAGTAGAGTGTTCCTTTTGAACATAAGACGATGTCTCTTGAAGATTTTCCTCTAGCTTTGCCTTCATCTTTAGAATCTGCTCTTTGATTATCTTAAGTGTTCCGTCACAGTACTTCTCAATCTCACTGACTACCATCAAACGTTTTTCGTTCTTGTGGTTCAGATAGGTGACTGCTGGCGGTGTGAAGAAGATGTGGTAGGCTGGGAAATCTTCAAGTTCTTGACCATACAGTCTTGGCTTTGTCAGATTTGTCTTCTTCCGATTGCACTCAATAGCCATCTGTAGGTCATGTGAATAGTGTACTCGGATTTGTCTAAGCATGAATCTTTTGATAGCTGCGAGGCCTTCGCTGTATATTATGCTCTGCCTGACTGGAAGGTATCTGTAGGCCATGAACATTTGGTAGATGTCATCCGGTTTCAGCATGATGAAGTCGTTCTCTTGACAAGTAAATTCGCTCCCATCGGTGCGTTGAAGTCTGTAAGTGTAGAATGTTACTCCATGATAGTGTTCAGCCTTCACTTGCAGAATTTGATGAATCGGGAGAATATTCGACTTCAGATCGTGTTCCATTAGTTCTCTCTGAGTACCGGTTGACCTTTGTAGCAACATATGCAGATGACCTCCAGCCTGCTTTCCTTTTAAGTGAGTAAGGCCTCTTAGCTTCAGTTCATTTAGTGGCTTGACTCTGTCTGGTCTACGCCAGATATGCTCTCTGATTTCTTCTTGGAAGGGGGCTTTGATACGAACATTATCCTAGGGTTTCTCTGTCTTGGGAAGTCTTCCCGCTGTTTGTCTTACAACTGATTCAAGAGTCTTCTGGGATTCTTTGTAATTCTCCCCTTCCTTGCGTTCATCGTCCTCGAGCCTTATAATATCTTCAGAGCATTTGTTGATTAGCTCTCGTAACCACCAGTTTCTTTGCATGTCCTCTTGTTCGGCTTCAACCCGAAGATCATCCCATTCTGTCCATTTTCTTGGCCACTTGTCATATATCACCACCTCTTCCAGTGCATCATGGATGTCTTTGCCTGGGGAAATATATGGAATTCTTTGTTCAGGCGGTGATTGTTCCTGTGTAGCACTACCGGGTTCACTAGGATTGCCCATTGACATCAGCTTAGAACTGGGTTCCAACTGATGGCCTGATGGAGAAGATGTACCAATGGTAACATCATCAGGACTTCCATCCCCTCCTCGGTTGGTATCTCTGGGAGATACGCCTCGGGATGTTATTTCTAGCTCGACCATGCTAGATAGTTTGGCTGTGGATGGTGGTTGTTGGTTTGTTGAGGTTTCAGGTTGAATTGCCTGTGGAGTTTGGCTTGGTAGAGCAGTTTGCTCAAGTGATCGAGGTCGCTTGTTCTCCCCCTCATGAGGATCCGAATCATCGGGGTCCTCATGGGAACGATTGCGACCACGAAGACTCTCCTTGCAAGTGCTCTTGGTTTCGGGTGAAGAAAGAAGGGCTTCAAGTATGGTTTGCTGATGAAGAGTGAGGTTGTCTTCTGGGGTATTTAAGAGGTTGTTCAGCAAAGCCGAAGCTAGTGTGTCAAAGGATAGTGAGGAGAGATCGATGGAGGGTGTGGTCGGGTGTGGGGAGAATACTGGTTTTGTATCCTGGGTTCCCCGAGAAATAGAGGGAATGGGAATTTGGTTTATGGATTGGTGGAATAGAGGGGTGGAGGATATGGGTTGTGTATGGGAGATGAACGGTTCAGGGGAAGGTTGGGGTGGTGTTTGTTCAGACCGAACCGCTTGGGTGGTC